GCCTTCAGCTCTAAAGCCCCTTTCGGAACACGGCCCTGCGAGCACGGGCTGGAGAGACTCAGGAGGAGCAGGGGCAGCCACGCAGCCAGCGGCTGGAGAGAAGCGGCGCTTTCCCCTTCAAAGCGCCACTTCTCTCCAGCCGGCTTTGAAGGGGAAAGTGCTGCTTCTTTCCGGCCGCTGGCTGCCACTGCTCCACCACGGGCCGGAGGAGTCAGGCCCACCCTGCTCTTTCCTTTTTTCCCCCCTCCGGTGGTGTTCCTCCTGCCACACCGCCCTTTTGCTCTGGCGGCGCTCCTCCTGCTGCGCCCCCCGAATGATCATCTTGCGCACCCCCTGGGGTGCACGTTATACCAATAAAATAACCAGCAGGATCTTATTAAAGGGGATAAGACAAAATGTCACATTTATTGTGACTACAAAAAGAATCATAGTAGGCAGTCAGTTATAGCTGTAACATTTCATACATTCACACATTCATTCATACACACACACAGGTTCTGCAGCTGCTGTATAGTTACCAGTCCTGAATGTAGCTTGAGTTTGTGGCCTGGGTTCGTAGCTTGTGGCAGCTAACTGGCCAGGAAAGCCGGGCACAAGGAAAAGCTGGGTCTCTGTTGGGCATGCACTGATGCCCTTCCATGTTGGCAGCAGAATGTTATCCTTCAAAGTCTTCCATCTCCCCCATCCTTTTTGTAGGCTTTAGTTTGAATCCAGAGTCTATCGGTCTTCCTGTATCACGCTGCCTCTGGGTTCAGTGTGATTGATCACCTGTCAGTTGCAAACATGACTTTCAGCCTAGGACCTGGCTTTGATGTTTCTTCAATTGTACTTTTGAGGGTGGACTCCTCTTACTTTGTCAGGGCTGTTATCTGCATCTTCAGCCGTTGGGTTTTTACACTTTATTTCATCAGGACAGGCTGGGGCTGCAGGTTGATTCCATCATCCATACAAACCTCATTCACACATCTAAACTAAACTATTAAAATTTTTGTAAAAATGAAGGTTGCAGCAAGCTTTTACAAAACAGAGTGAGCATTTTAAAATGGAGTTTGGGACAAGTTAAAATGGAGTTTGAGTTACAATATGGACAAGCGTAAGGAACGGCAAACAGTGAACAGAAGTTACAATTTTCAGAGTAGCAACCGTGTTAGTCTGTATTCACAAAAAGAAAAGGAGTACTTGTGGCACCTTAGAGACTAACACATTTATTTGAGCATAAGCTTTCGTGAGCAGAATGTCGAAACAGTGTAAATTTCAGTGATTTAAGCAACAATTGGATTGCAAGTGAAACTCAATTAGCCAATTATTGGGGTACCTGGTTTTATGAATGAACATAGTTTCATTCATAAAACTTGACTTATGAAGTTATATTAATAAAGTGAACAATTAAAAACAATTTCATTGATCAGTTCTACATGCGCACCCCACTTTGGAGACCGCTGCCCTAATACCTACTGGTACATCTACTTTGTGAGCAGATGTAATGTTATGGCACAAGCACTGAATTAGTTTGGATGTAAGCACTAACTGGGTGCATGTCCATATCTCAGCGCAGTAAAGAAGGAGTTACACCATAGCGCACATACAAACTCTCCATGCTGTAGCAGGTTTGCTTCCACAGTTGTGTGTGCATAACCCAGTGCACACACAGCCAAGTGGGGTATGCACATCAGCCCAATGTAAATAAGGTAAGTGTGTGCAAACTCCAGGGCAGGCAGAGCCCAGGTTTATGCAGACCCCAGGGCAGAACTCAGGGTGGGGTGTGTGGGGTAGGGACGCACAGAGCCTGGGGAGGTAGCTGTCTGTCCGGTGGGAAGAGGGGTGCTCTTACCCCAGGGCTGGCACAGCCAGGGGCAGAGAGTTGGGGGCACAGTTAGGCATCACACTGCAGGGTAGGCAGAGCCCAGGGAAGTATGGGTGTGTGGAGGCAGAGCCTGGGAGGGGAGTCTGTGTGGAGTTGGACAAGCAAAGCCAGTATGTTTGTGGGGGGAGTTGGTTGGGTATACCTGCCCCAGAACAGACAGAGCCTCGAGGAGGGCGGTGTATGGCGGAGGGTTGGGTACTCACACCCCAGTATGGGCAGAGTCCAGGGAGAGGTCTGTGTGTGGTTCGGTATACCCATTCCAGGACAGGCAGAGCCTGGGGAGGGGAGTGTGTGTGTGTGTGGTGTTGGGTATACTTGCCCCAGGACAGGCAGAGACCAGGGAGGGGAATGGGTGTGCATGGGGTGGTGGGTATCAGTGTTCCCTCTAATTTTTCCACCCATGTGCAGAATTAATTTTGTTGTGTACACCAATATGGCAGTGATGTGTGACACATCACCTTCATATTGGTGCACATAACAAAATTCATGTGGTGGGGGTGGGACCAAAGGGTTCGAAGTATGGGAGGGGGCTCAGGGATGGGGCAGAGGGTTGGGTGCAGGGGATGAGGGCTCCAGTTGGGGTGTGAGCTTTGGGGTGGGGCTGGGGATGAGGGGCTCAGGGATAGGGCAGAGGGTTGGGTGCACGGGGTGAGGGCTTTGGGGTGCAGGAGGGTGCTCCAGGGCTACGGCAGGGAGAGAGAACTCCCCCCAGCTCTCTCTCCCCGCAGCAGCACCTGGACTGGGGGTGGGGTGGTAGCTCTGCGGCTGCAGAATAGGCATCCCTCGCTCAGCCCCAACAGGTCCAGGCCGGGGGAGGGCCGCCCCTGGGGCCGAGCCGCTCTGGCCGCATCTGGGTCTGGGCCACTCTGGCTAGGGTCAGCCTGGGCTGTACTGCCCTGGCCACGCTTGAGGCCAGGCTGCTCCTGCTGCACCTGGGGCCGGCCCCCTCTGGGCACCCCGGCAGTGGCAGGTTGAAGGCTAGGCTAGGTGGGGGCTGAGGGAGGGGCACCCCTCCCCTGGCAGGTTCCCTGGGTGCCTGCGAGGTGCTAAATAGGTTGCTGGGCAGCTTACAGGGAACTTAGGTGGGTACACCTGCCCCAAGGCAGGCAGAGCCCGGGAGGGAAGCGTGGGGGGGCAGTGTTGGGTATACTCACCCCAGGACAGGCAGAGACCAGGGAAGGGAGTTTGTGTGCATTGTATGGTGGGTATACCTGCCCCGGGGCAGGCAGAGACCAGGGAGGGGTGTGTGTGTGTGTGAATACCCACCCCAGGACATGCAGAGCTTGGGGAGGGGAGTGTGTGTCGGGTATACCCGTTGCAGTACAGGCAGAGCCTGGGAAAGGGTGTGCGTGTGTGTGTGGGGGTGTATACCAACCCTAGGACAGGCAGAGCCCAGGGATGGGTGTGTGTGTGTTTATTGGCTGGGTATACCTGTTGGAGGACTAGGATTGCCAATTCTAGTCAGACATATTCCTGGAGGTTTTATCACATGACAATATTTAATTAAAGATTCATCTTTAATTCCTGGAGACTCCAGGCCAAACCTGTGGGGAGGAGATGATATGATGCGATAGCCTAATTTTGGCAATTAACAGATCTTCGACTATTAGCGGTAGATATGCCCAATGGCCTCTGATGGGATGTTAGATGAGGTGGGATCTGAGTTACTATGGAGAATTCTTTCCTGGGTGTCTGGCTGGTGAGTCTTGCCCACATGTTCAGGGTTTAGCTGATGGCCATATTTGGGGTCGGGAAGGAATTTTCCTCCAGGGCAGACTAGCAGAGGCAATGGGGGTTTTTCACCTTCCTCTGCAGCATGGGGCACAGGTCAATTGCTGGAGGATTCTCTACACCTTGAAGTCTTTAAACCATGATTTGAGGACTTCAATAGCTCAGACATAAGTCAGGGGTTTGTTACAGGAGTGGGTGGGTGAGATTCTGTGGCCTGCGTTGTGCAGGAGGTCAGACTAGATAATCATAAATGATCTGGAGGATGGTGTGCATTGCACTCAGCAAATTTGCGGATGATACTAAACTGGGAGGAGTGGTAGATACGTTGGAGGGCAGGGATAGGATACAGAGGGACCTAGACAAATTGGAGGATTGGGCCAAAAGAAATCTGATGAGGTTCAATAAGGATAAGTGCAGCGTCCTGCACTTAGGACGGAAGAACCCAATGCACAGCTACAGACTAGGGACCGAATGGCTAGGCAGCAGTTCTGCGGAAAAGGACCTAGGGGTGACAGTGGACGAGAAGCTGGATATGAATCAGCAGTGTGCCCTTGTTGCCAAGAAGGCCAATGGCATTTTGGGATGTATAAGTAGGGGCATAGCAAGCAGATCGAGGGACGTGATCTTTCCCCTCTATTCGACATTGGTGAGGCCTCATCTGGAGTACTGTGTCCAGTTTTGGGCCCCACACTACAAGAAGGATGTGGATAAATTGGAGAGTCCAGCGAAGGGCAACAAAAATGATTAGGGGTCTGGAACACATGACTTATGAGGAGAGGCTGAGGGAACTGGGATTGTTTAGTCTGCAGAAGAGAAGAATGAGGGGGGATTTGATAGCTGCTTTCAACTACCTGCGAGGTGGTTCCAGAGAGGATGGTTCTAGACTATTCTCAGTGGTAGAAGAGGACAGGACAAGGAGTAATGGTCTCACGTTGCAGTGGGGGAGGTTTAGGTTGGCTATTAGGAAAAACTTTTTCACTAGGAGGGTGGTGAAACACTGGAATGCGTTACCTAGGGAGGTGGTACAATCTCCTTCCTTAGAAGTTTTTAAGGTCAGGCTTGACAAAGCCCTGGCTGGGATGATTTAGTTGGGCATTGGTCCTGCTTTGAGCAGGGGGTTGGACTAGATGACCTCCTGAGGTCCCTTCCAACCCTGATATTCTATGATCATCATGGTCCCTTCGGACCTTAAAATCTATGATTCTGTGGAGGGTTGGCGACCTTACCCAGCATAGGCAGAGCCCAGAGAAGGGTGTGTGTGTGTGGGGTGCTCACACCCGAGCCGCAGGCAGAGCTGGGGAGCGGGGTGTGTGCGTGTGCTGACACCCGAGCTGCAGGCAGAGCTGGGGAGGGGTGTGTGTGTGTGTGGGGCAGGGTGCTGACACCCCAGCCTCAGGCAGAGCCAGGGAGAGGGGTGGATGTGTGGGTTCACACCTGAGCCGTGGGGAGATGTGTGTGTGTGCTGACACTCCAGCTGCGGGCAGAGCTGGGAAGGTGTGTGTGTGTGTGTGGGGGGGGGGGGTGCTCACACCACAGCCGCGGGCAGAGCCCGGGAGCCGCACGCTCTCAGCGCTCACCCAACGCTTCTATGTAAGCTGGGCACCGCGACGCCTCTCGTGCAAGCCACGCAGCCGCCGGCAGGAGGCGGGTCTCTCGCGCCCCCCCCCGCCACCCACCAACGGCTCGCGCGCGCCGGCCGGCTGTTGGCGGGCTCCCGACGCTCGCGGGGGCGATGACCGTGGCGCCACGCCGCCTCCTCCGTACTCTCCTCGGCTCGCCTTCCGCGATGGGAGACTCGGCCTCCCGGCTGCCCAGCAGAGCGGAGGCCCTGCCCGGCCGGAGCCAGAGCATCCGGGTCTCAGGTAGGGCGGCTCCCGTCCCCGGGCTCGTCCCCGCGCTGGTGGGTGAGGCGCCTGACTGAGCCCACCCAGGCCCGCCGAGATGACGATCTCTGTGGGGGGCGGGGGAGAGGCGACTCGATGAGGAACGTGGACCCTCGCACATGCGCAGCGCGCACTGACCCACCCGTCCTCGGCCTCAGCGCAGGCGCACCGTGCTCCCTCTTCCCTGAGTTATACAAGCGCCCACGCGCACTGATCCTGCCTTACTGCGGGCGCTCTCCTCCTTGCCATCTTTCGCTGGAGCGCATGCGCTTGAAGCGCTTTCCCTCCCTCCCTTTGAAGTGCGGTGAGAGGGGGGCGGCAGCGCTCCGTAGCGCATGCGCAGTTGGACGCCCCGTCCCTGGCTCGCCTCAGAGAAGTGGGGCGGAAAGGGGGCGCGGGGGCAGGCGCCCAAGGCCTCCTCGCTCGGGATAGGGGCGGCTCGGGGGTCTCCCTTGGACGGGGCACGTGGCGAACCGTTCAAGCAATATGTGCTCGCTGGTGAGAGTTTAAAGAGACTCACACCACCGGACTGGCGGAAGTCACTAGCTAAGCAGCGGGAACCAGAGTTTGTTGGCGTGCTAAACCAGCCTTGGAGAGCAGTAGCCTCTTCTGCGGGCACAGAAAGCACGTTTTCTTCCTTTGGAGTAATTCATTCAAAGTTGAGAAATCAATAGGACGTTGAAAATGCAGGAAAGCTTGTCCTTCTCTTCCAGTTTATGAATGAAAATGAGGCCGGGGATGAGCTCGACTAGTTTTAAAAGTTTGAAGGACAGCCTGAGTAATTTAGGAGACTCCTTCTCATTTTCAAGAGACTTAGGCAAAGAGGAACATAAGCGGCAGTCGCTTTCACGTAGGCATATTTGAAAGACTGACCTGAAATAATCAGCTTAATTCACTGTCTGCGGTTAATCCCTTGGTTTAATAAATCATTTAGTTGTGCATGTGAAACATGTTTTGATAAGAGAAATTTATGTATTCAAAACATGAAAGGATTTTTTAATAAAAATAAATGTTATGTGGTATTTTGTGTGTTAATTAAATTCCAGTTACTGTACAGTTAATGCAGCTTGACACAAATATGTACAAAAAGTTAATAAGGAATATATCATTCAACATTTTCTAATATACAAAAATGTACACTTAACAAGAAGCTGAAAATACGCTATGTAATTGCTTAAATAAATGTATATAGTTATAGCGTATCCTAGGTATCAAAAATATTTACCATATTTAGTGTAAAGGCTCTATTTGGTTGTAAATCAACATGCTTTAATGGTAATATCAACCAAGGAAAATGCACCTTTCTTTTGAAAATAACTGAAGTACCAATGGAAAAGTTGATTAAAATCAATGGTTTAAATCAAGGCTTTCCATTTGGTGATTTAAATCAATCTATTCTGGGTACCTGTGTGCTTAATAACAGCATTGACCTACAAGGAACTGTAAAAGTTACAACAAGGTAAATGCGATTAGAAATTAGGTGCAAATTAAATTTTAAAATTTAGTATAAAGTTTACTTGGGCCAGATTTCTATGCATGGAAGTAGCTGAGTGTAAAATATGACTGGCAGTTTAAAATGCCTTGTTTTCCATATTTTAAGGCAATCTATTAACTAGTTGATTTTTCATTGAAAGTTGCATTTTACCAGGTTCTACTGTAAGCTAAGTTGTGTTGGTTTTTTGATGAGTAAATTCTGTACATTTTGACAGTCAGTGTCTCTTTCTCTCTCCCCATTCATCCACCAGTGGTCTCCTTCCTCATTAATAGGTGAGAATCCACCCCATATTTTCTTCCTCTTTAACTCCGTGGCCCTTCATTATGAGGACTGGATGAGAACTGACCCTGTCTGTGACATTGTTTTTCTTTTTATCTTAAGGATATTACTAATTTAGGCCCTGATATTGTAAGGTGTTGAAGCTTAAGCAACATGCAGGATCAAGACTTTAATCAGTACAGTATATTATATTAATTTCTCTAAAGTTACTGACAGCCAGGTATATAAGGATGTATTTTTATTATAAGGTTCTTGTGACAAAATATATTACAAGAGGAATGTACAAATGGTTTGGTTTGCAGAAGTTACGAGGACCTGGAGATAACTATGATGTTTTAATTATGTTCAGCTTGGTTCTGTTTTGTCATAATGTATGCAGAAATCAAAAGGAAAGGAGTTCTGCTTCAGATTTCTTTCTCTTTTAAAAACTGCATAGACTGTGACAGGCTTATGAAATCATCATACTGTAATTGATATCTTATATATTTCTGAAGTTTCTCCTTCTTCTTTCATGGGAATCTTTGTTAATTTCTATGAAGTACTGTTTTCTGGTAATCTACTTGCATTTATTTGGTCTAAAGCAATTTTTCTCAGTCTTGGTACTTGCAGACGTTTTGCTGTTTTCCTTCACTACAGTAGAGAAACTGAAATTCATATTTGAAAATTAGTGCTTTAAGCATGATTTTTAGAATGTGTTAGAGTGTAATGTCATGCCCTGTAGTAAAATTAAATATCGCTTTCTGCTATCCTCACTAACCAAAGTTTAGTTATTAAATCATCTTCAGTTGCTATATTGTATCAAATGTTGATATAAGTAGATTAGAGGTTTATACTTTAATTGACACTATATACACACACATACACCCCAATTATAAATACGTTTAGTGTTCGATTTTGTGAAATGGTAGGATGTAGGACTCTTGCTCCGTTAGTCTGATCAGTTCAGGTAGGTAATGCTGGAAATAATTTTTAGTTAGTCATTTGTTTGTGGTCTCAGTCCTGTTCCTAGTAGAGAGATTCGCATCACAGAAACAGCCATCTCACTTGGCTTTATATGATATAGGATGCAGGGGCACTACTTCTTCATTGCCAGTAGTATATCAAGACATTAATATCAACTTCATTTACTTCTTCCTTTGCGCATGTGCTCAATGGAAGAGTCCTGAGAGGAGCTGCTGGAGAGAAAGAAAAGAGGGAACTTCCCATTGCAGTGCCAAACATGATGAACCCCAATTTGGGGAAACTTCTGTTATGCATATTTTTTGTTTTGCCTACGGTAACTTATTCTGATTTGTTCATGCTGAAAAATCCTACTGATTTCTGTGGTTTTACTTTTGTTGAGCCATCTAACTAGTTTAAGGACATAGATTTCATAGATATTAAGATCAGAAGGGACCATGATGATCATCTAGTCTGACCTCCTGCACAACGCAGGCCACAGAATCTCACCTACCCACTCCTGCGAAAAACCTCTCACCCTATGTCTGAGCTACTGAAGTCCTCAAATCGTGGTTTAAAGACTTCAAGGAGCAGAGAATCCTCCAGCAAGTGACCCGTGCCCCATGCCACAGAGGAAGGTGAAAAACCTCCAGGGCCTCTTCCATTTCCTTCCCGACCCCAAATATGGCAATCAGCTAAACCCTGAGCATATGGGCAAGATTCACCAGCCAGATACCTAGGAAAGAATTTTCTGTAGTAACTCAGATCCCATCTCATCTAACATCCCATCACAGGCTATTAGGCCTATTTACCATGAATATTTAAAGATCAATTAATTGCCAAAATCATGTTATCCCATCATACCATCTCCTCCATAAACTTATCGAGTCTAATCTTAAAGCCGGATAGGTCTTTTGCCCCCACTGCTTCCCTTGGAAGGCTATTCCAAAACTTCACTCCTCGGATGGTTAGAAACCTTTGTCTAATTTCAAGTCTAAACTTCCCAATGACCAGTTTATATCCATTTGTTCTTGTGTCCACATTGGTACTGATCTTAAATAATTCCTCTCCCTCTTCGGTATTTATCCCTCTGATATATTTATAGAGAGCAATCATATCTCCTCTCAACCAAGACATATTTGGCTATCTCACTAGAGAGGCCAAGAATTAAATGGACATGGAGACTAAATTGAACAATCTCTGAAGCAAGGACATTCTCTACATTTTACCGGATTAAAAGTTTAGGATTAAGATATATTAGCTTGATGGTCTGGGGAATCTTGCAGTGATGCTTGTCTGAATCTGTTCCAGGGATATACAGGATTCTAGTCTCTATTGTTTTCAGGCTAGTATCTTTCATGTGCAGCAAATCCATCTTTTGGTAAAGGCAACCACCTTAGTATTTTCCTAACAAAAAGGATGGATGGTGGTGCAGTTCTGATTCTATTTGCTATTAAACTATTCAGTTGTAATTTAAAAATATTTGAAAACTTTTTCCTCACTGTCAACATTTATCTTTCAGCAGCTGGATTTCCCAGTTTTAATCTTAGAGAAGAATGGTGATCTATTCTCCGATTTCTAGGCAGTCTCTAGCCAATACTATAATACAAGTTAATAACAACAATAAAAATACCCAGATATGCACACAGTAGGCCAAATTCATCCCTAGTGTAACTTCATAGTTTCAGATTCTCTTAGTGACAGTGATGTAAATCTGGGGTAATTCCACTGAAGCCAGTGAACGTACTTTTGATTTATGATGGCATATTTTAACACAGACTCTAGCCTTATGGAACTATGCCGGGGATGAACTGTGTTCACTGAAAGGATAATAGACCTCATTGTGAGCAGAAGTATGTAGTAACAAGATACAATTTTACAGTTACGGTTCTGATCAGCAATACATTTTGACCCTGTTTTCAAATATTTGAAATAAAATGTTTAAAGGGACACAACCAACTTAAAAATTACAAATTTGTCCAGAAATATTTACCTATTGTTACAAGTAACATATAAGGTTAGTAAAAATCAGTAGTTCTCAACCAGGGGTCCACGTACCCTTGGAGGTACGCAGAGGTCTTCCGGGGGGAACATGAACTCATCGAGATATTTGCCTAGTTTTACAACAGGCTACGTAAAGTCACTAGCAAAGTCAGTACAAATGAAAATTTCATGCAGACAGTGACTTGTTTATACTGCTCTCTATATACTATACACTGAAATGTAAGAACAATATTTATATTCCAGTCAATTTATTTTATAATTTATATGGTAAAAATGAGAAAGTCAGCAATTTTTCAGTAGGAGTGTGCTGGGACACTTCTATATTTTTATGTGTGATTTTGTAAGCAAGTAGTTTTTAAGTGAGATGAAGCTTGGGGTACGCAAGAGAAATAAGACTTCTGAAAGCGGTACAATAGTCTGGAAAGGCTGAGAACATCTGGTATAAATTAGAGACAATGTTTTTCATCCCCCCCTCCCCACTTTTGTTTACTTTGTGGATTTGACATCACTTAGTATGGGCAGTTTTGCTGCTCTGTATTGTCATTAATTATTTAGTTTTCTATTGTTTCTATGAGTCTTTCATGAAGCAACAGTGGAGAGAAAAGCATTTTTTAAAAAAAAGGAAAATGTTATTTCCAGACCACAGAAATTGGGAGGGAGACTCATGGATAGGCATAGTACCTGAATTTACTTTTCACTCTTTTTAAATTAACTAGATTTAAAGTTGACTGTCCCTTTATTGCTGTTTCAGAAGTGTTACATGAATTTAGTGCATCAAATGAATTCTCACTGAATTCTAATTATGCTTAGAATTAATTTCTCAATCTGATTTGCTAAACTCAAGAGACAATGACATTAAATTGTTTTGTTGATTTTTTTTTTTGTTTTTTTTGAGAAAGGCTTCCAATCCTGTGGGTATAAGTTTGGACAGGGCTACAGGGAAATTTCTAAGGAGGCCCCAAGATTTGGAGGCTTTCCAAGAACGCTCTAAGCAATATCAGATTATAAACAAAGATCCCACAGATTTGTGGATTGAATTCCTGGCTTGCAGGTCCCTTAGCATCTAGCCCTGGAGAAGTAGTGGGAATTTGGCTTGGGACTGAAGCTGGACATGGTTACTCTCTTTTGCCTCTTCTGCTAGAACTTTGCACATGTGTTTCAATGTAAATTCCATTGATGTCATTAGTACAGGTAGCTAAACTTTTGGGACAAATTTATTCCATTTTAATGCAGAAAGGAAAAGATACTAATTTCCTTAGATTTGGTTCATTTCATATAGAATTTTTAAAGAAAATGGTATGTTCTCTTAGGAATATCATTCCTCCAATAGCTGGCTAATTTCTATGATACATATTGATGAAAGTCATTTTAACCTTCATAGCTTGTGAACACGCTGTAAGGTAAATTAATGGCACAAAAATAGAACTAATCTGTTAAAATGTAGTGGCATTTGTTTTGCTCTTTTACCTATTTGTTATAACAGATTTTCCTCTCCCGTTAATCTTTCTTTTACCATCTCAAAATATGTACCACATTAGCTTGTTGATTGCTTGAGTTTGAATAACTTCTTTTTTTGCTGGCAGCTGTAAAAAGTGGTCAGTAGTATTTTATTTGGTTTAATGCTAATATTTAAAGATTGGCAATTTTTGCATTATCTCTTCAACCCCTTCATGTGAAAGAGACTTTTTGTACTTTGTAGATAGTATAATCAGAAAGCAAGAGAGAGATGCTACAAGTAAGCCTGCAGCTGCAAATGCAGAAAGCCCAGTTATCAAATGTGGGTGTCTGACAGGATATCCAAATCCCCTACTTAACGCCTTTACAGTTGCCAACAAAAAGATTAGTTCAAACTCAACCAATCAGCAAGCTAATATAGTATATATTTTGAGACTGCAAAAGCAAAGTAAATGGGAGAGGGAAATCTGTTATAACAAGTGGGTAAAAAACAAAACAAATTCCACTACATTTGAAAAGGTTAATTCTACTTTTGAGCCATTGATTTACCTTATGCCATGTTTAGAAGCTATGAAGGTTCAAATGAGTTTTACCAACATATATCACTAGAAATGAATCAGATATCAGAGGAATGATATTCCTAAGAGGACATAATTTTCTTAATATCATTTTCTTTAACAACTCATTTCCTTAGACTTAGGTCATTTCATGTCTCTTCCTTCTGCGTTAATAGGCAATCAGTTTGCCCCAAAAGATTGCCTATCTGTTTTGAAGTATAAAGGCCAGAACTCTGCTCACTGCGTCTGAGAAGAGAGGAATGTAAAGATGAGTATACCTGAGTCCTCAGGGCTGCTTTAATTTACACTGGCTTGTAATGGCATAGGGCCATTACACTGGCAGGAAACGCTGGAGCTCAGTGAACTCTGACCATGTCCCTTAAATCTCCAATACTTTCCTATAAAGAGTGAGAGTATGGTGTTGAGATGGATATGCTGGCTTTATGACATTTGGAATTTCCAACATGTCAGGGGAATCTCCAGCTGCCCATTTAAGGCAGCTTTACTGTTTTGGGCCTTCAAAGAGGCCATAGTGTAGAGCAGATCTGGCCCCTAATTCTTATCTAGTGCGTAAAGATTTATATCATTTTGCTAGTTTGGGGAATGTGTCAACATAGCAATTCTGACAATTTGTTATATAAAAAAGTGAGATGTTGTAATGGAACTGCTGAATTAAATATGAATAAATCTAATGGTTTTTCATAACATCAATAAAATGTGTCAACATAACAATTCTGAGAATTTTCTAAATTATATAAAAAGTAAGATTTTATAACGGAACTGTTGAATGAAGTCTGTGAATATATCTGATGGTCTTTCGTAATGTGAGCAATAAAAGGAAAAAGAAAAATGTTTGATATTTTTTTCATAAGATGATTAAAAAAATCCTGTTGACTATGGAAAAATGAACACCCTGATTCAGTATTACCATACTCATAGAATCATAGAATATCAGGGTTGGAAGGGACCCCTGAAGGTCATCTAGTCCAACCCCCTGCTCGAAGCAGGACCAATTCCCAGTTAAATCATCCCAGCCAGGGCTTTGTCAAGCCTGACCTTAAAAACCTCTAAGGAAGGAGATTCTACCACCTCCCTAGGTAACGCATTCCAGTGTTTCACCACCCTCTTAGTGAAAAAGTTTTTCCTAATATCCAATCTAAACCTCCCCCACTGCAACTTGAGACCATTACTCCTCGTTCTGTCATCTGCTACCACTGAGAACAGTCTAGAGCCATCCTCTTTGGAACCCCCTTTCAGGTAGTTGAAAGCAGCTATCAAATCCCCCTCATTCTTCTCTTCTGCAGGCTAAACAATCCCAGCTCCCTCAGCCTCTCCTCATAACTCATGTGTTCCAGACCCCTAATCATTTTTGTTGCCCTTCGCTGGACTCTCTCCAATTTATCCACATCCTTCTTGTAGTGTGGGGCCCAAAACTGGACACAGTACTCCAGATGAGGCCTCACCAATGTCGAATAGAGGGGAACGATCACGTCCCTCGATCTGCTTGCTATGCCCCTACTTATACATCCCAAAATGCCATTGGCCTTCTTGGCAACAAGGGCACACTGCTGACTCATATCCAGCTTCTCGTCCACTGTCACCCCTAGGTCCTTTTCCGCAGAACTGCTGCCTAGCCATTCGGTCCCTAGTCTGTAGCTGTGCATTGGGTTCTTCCGTCCTAAGTGCAGGACGCTGCACTTATCCTTATTGAACCTCATCAGATTTCTTTTGGCCCAATCCTCCAATTTGTCTAGGTCCTTCTGTATCCTATCCCTCCCCTCCAGTGTATCTACCACTCCTCCCAGTTTAGTATCATCCGCAAATTTGCTGAGAGTGCAATCCACACCATCCACCAGATCATTTATGAAGATATTGAACAAAACCGGCCCCAGGACCGACCCTTGGGGCACTCCACTTGATACCGGCTGCCAACTAGACATGGAGCCATTGATCACTACCCGTTGAGCCCGACAATCTAGCCAGCTTTCTACCCACCTTGTAGTGCATTCATCCAGCCCATACTTCCTTAACTTGCTGACAAGAATACTGTGGGAGACCGTGTCAAAAGCTTTGCTAAAGTCAAGAAACAATACATTCACTGCTTTCCCTTCATCCACAGAACCAATAATCTCATCATAAAAGGCGATTAGATTAGTCAGGCATGACCTTCCCTTGGGTCAGGGGACCCAAGCCATGCTGGCTGTTCCTGATCACCTTCCTCTCATGCAAGTGCTTCAGGATTGATTCTTTGAGGACCTGCTCCATGATTTTTCCAGGGACTGAGGTGAGGCTGACTGGCCTGTAGTTCCCAGGATCCTCCTTCTTCCCTTTTTTAAAGATTGGCACTACATTAGCCTTTTTCCAGTCATCCGGGACTTCCCCGGTTCGCCACAAGTTTTCAAAGATAATGGCCAATGGCTCTGCAATCACAGCCGCCAATTCCTTCAGCACTCTTGGATGCAACTCGTCCGGCCCCATGGACTTGTGCACATCCAGCTTTTCTAAATAGTCCCTAACCACCTCTATCTCCACAGAGGGCTGGCCATCTCTTCCCCATTTTGTGATGCCCAGCGCAGCAGTCTGGGAGCTGACCTTGTTAGTGAAGACAGAGGCAAAAAAAGCATTGAGTACATTAGCTTTTTCCACATCCTCTGTCACTAGGTTGCCTCCCTCATTCAGTAAGGGGCCCACACTTTCCTTGGCTTTCTTCTTGTTGCCAACATACCTGAAGAAACTCTTCTTGTTACTCTTGACATCTCTCGCTAGCTGCAGCTCCAGGTGAGATTTGGCCCTCCTGTAACTTTGCAACCTGTCATGACCCAAATGTAGGTTCCAGTGTGAAATTATGCTTCAGAATCAGGCATGGAAGAGAAACAATAATGAAGGAAGTTTAAGATTTAGTAAAATTAATTTCTTTAACATTTTCTGTAGCTTCAGTTTCTTGATTCAATATTTTCATGTAAATAAATTGTTAACTGACATCCCATTTTTATAAGGGGTTGTACTAAATATAGGTAAAAAAGAAGGGATATCCCCACAGGAGGGACAATTCAGAGGTATGATGAATATCAAGTTAATAGACTCTGTGTATTGTATTTCTCAAGTTTCAATTTTCCTTTCCAGTTCATCAGAAGAGGGAATTGCTTATCTCTTCATTTTAAAGAATGACCCTCATTTATTGCATTTTTGATCCATTGATTTCTATACGTTTATTACATTTTCATTATAGTTTAATCAAGCATGCTGAGATCCAGATGAGAAAGGATGTAAAGTGACATTACATTTTGCTATGGCACCTTGTTTTTAGAAATTGTTTAGTATTGAAAGACGTGACTTCTGAAATTTTTGAATGGTTGCAATGTCTCTTAAGATTATGCATGAAATATTTTCTTTTGAAAATAGTGGTGGCAATAGAAATGTGTATGTCATGCATCCTCTCCCTTTTACATTTTTATGTTTGTTTTTTTTTGCTTTTGGCAAGTGTACCTAAACATTAAATAATTCTTATCAGGCTAAACATGTAACTGAAGAATTATTAAAAATTGGACTGACTTTGGCAAAAAGGAATGACTCTTTAGCTAACTCTTACCTTTCCGTTTTAGAAGACGTTGCAGAAGATATGAAAATCTAATTTTGTGTGAATTTTGCATTTGACGTCTGCAAAAGAGACAAAAAAAAAATCAAAACCAGGAACAAACAGTCATTGATAGATCAATAACTTACAAAGTATCTGTTTGCAGAACTGTATAACCAGCTGCCAAATGCAGCTCTCAAGGTAACACTGCATTGCTGAAAAACTTTCACTTCCTTGTCACCTCTAAATACAGCATACCACAAAGAGCTAAGTCATTCATTAATAAGTCCTTGGCAAGACCAAACCAAACCAAAATAAATGTAAAAACCCAACCAAACAAAAAGCCCACCAATCCCCTCATTCCAGTCTCTGGAGTTTCATGTAGACTACTTAGCATTCTTCTCACACTTAAATGTGTGCACTGGCATGAAGCAACCCTGCACAAAGCCATACCCCCTCAGGACTGTGGCGGGCCTGATAACTGAGGTAGCTCTCCACAGGGTTTCTCCCTGGCAACAGAATGCAGGTTGCTGGGAAACAGCATTACTTAAGGAGTAGAAACTTTACCCAACTGGCAGCCTCTTGAATGCAAATAAGGCTTGAAGGAGACTCAGAAAGCAGAAACCCTAACTTTATAAAATAAAAAAGGTTTCAAAAGGACCTTTATTCAGAGGATTATTTATATATGTTGCTCTGAAGATTTATTCCAAATTGTGGAATAAAGGGGGATAATTATTTCTAGTGAAAGGTAGTGGCTTGATAAGCAAGATTAAATAGCTGCTTGTGACAGTGGTTTTGGAAAGACGTGTATCTAACACGTAAGGGCCAAACACTTGCATTGATAAACATAACCTGTCAGGATGAGAAGTAAACCCAGGAATTACATTTACACAGGATTTTTTTATTTCAAAGGATAATATTTCATATTACTGTATAATAGACCTGGGATGAATGTGGTCCATTTTGCTGATGGTTTTAACTCCATTTTGCCTTCAAAGAAGTTATAGTGATGAATTTGACCCTACATTTATTTAGGTAAGTCTGTGAGTGTAACAAACTCTCAGAAAGCAAAAAACTATAGTGGAGAAGCTGAGTGCCTCCACTTGCTGTCACGTAAGCCCTGTTGTGCCTAACTAGTGCAGGACATATGGAGTTCAATTATACTTTCAGTTATACCCATGTAACTTAATTGACGTTAGTGACATTGTACAAGGGTAGATTAGGTGAGAATCTGGACCATAGTATATAAATCACCCACTATTTGGCAACTCCTTCATTGGAATGCCTTAAATATAATAGGGTCTGATTCTCCACTGCATCGGTTTATAGCACCAGAGCTACTCCACTGACTTCACTAGAATCATATGTGCATACAACTGTTGTAATGTAGTTGAGGATCAGGCCTAACATATAACATACAAGTTAAGATGATGGGCTATTACAAATACACAAGTACTAGTAAGTGCTGATACAGTAAAGGAAAACTACATTATAGGTTAAATTGTGTCCTGGTTAACATGGCAGCACAGGGGTCCTTATGCCTCTGTGTTGGCGATCCATATCACAGATAACAGTATAGGAGAGAAAGTAGGCTCCACGTTGTAGTACATTTCTTCTAGGTAGGTTGGGATGGGGAGTGGGCATAGCTTTGGTCTCACCCCTCCAAAAGGTACTGGGCAACATACGTGGTGGTAGGTATAGACCTAAAACAGTTTGTTCCTTTCTCAAAACAACAGGGTACTGAGAGGGAGATTGTGACTCAGTCTAGTCACAATTGTGACTGAATTCAGGCCATGTCTACACTTAAGCCACTACAGCGGCACATCTTCAGCTGTGCTGCTGTAGCACCTCAGTGTAAACACTCACTACAGTGACAGGAGGCGTTCTCCTGTCACTGTAGTTAATCCACCTCCCCAGGAGTTCATAGCTAGGTTGATGGAAGAATTCTCCCATCGATCCAGTAATATCTGCACCGGGGGTTATGTTGGCATATATACAGCTATTAGGGGGGTAGATTTTTCACACCCATGAGAGATGTAGCTATGCCAGTGTATGTTTTCAGTATAGACCAGCCCTCACTCTTCTTTGGCTACTCCTGGGACAGAGCAACAGCACACTGCCTCTTATTTAGGGCAGATCATTATCTCACAATTTAGTACTATGCTTTGCATTCAGTGTCAGGGCTTGAAAAGTTTGTGTGACATCTTCTAGCCCAAGGACCAACCTGTCAAGGTCAAAATTAGCTGTTTCTCCACCCCCTTCCCCTAACAAGACTAAGTTCCCTGCAATTTAAGGCCCTGATCCAGCAAGGTATTTAAGCATGTGCCTAACTTTTAGCCTATGAGTAGTTCCTTTAAAAAATCAATGCTGAATCGGAGCCAAAATAAATGAAGCAGTTGTGTACTATTTGTGTTTAACTGTTCTGTTGCCAGTCAACTGTTGTTATTTTATTTATGGAATTGCTCAGAATGTACTTGGCACTATCCAAGCACAGAGGCAGACACACAGTTTTTGTTCTGAAGAGCATCAGTGTTTTTAATGTATTAAAAAAAATTAACTTACTACTAAGAAAGGTTAAATAGCAGGAAAAATATAAATTGAGTATATTTTTTCATTGATTTTTCTCTGGTGTTAGCTGAATAACATATTCAGCAATATTATCTGACCAGCTAATTGAATACTACCATAAATGTGTTGAATAGATTATTAAATGAATACTGGGGAAATTCATCAAATCATACATTCCTCAAATACTATTTGACCAACCTACAACTCTCTTACTTTTGTCATATCCTCTTTTCCTTACTGCTTTGTACTGACCTTTTCTTTCTTTCCTGTAATACACATAATGTAACTTTTCCTAAGTTGTCTTCAGAGGTGTGTTCCCTCTTTTCTTTCTCTGTCCCACATATCTTCTCTTTCTTTCCTTCTCCCTACATTGTGTTTGGTACTGCCTCTCCTATATTTTTTCTCTCTCCTTTTCCCCCTCACTTCTTCCCCAGAAATATTTCTATGTATTTTGTTTCCTAACTTATCCCATTAATATCTCGTGCTTTCTCTTTCTAAGAAGCAATATCGGGGTTTCTGCATAGTAAATTGTGCAAAACCATTTTTAGAAATATGATGGAAATTCTGGTTACAGTTCCCAGGTTAAGATTGAGCTGAGTTTTTTGTGCTTAAAGCAGGAATTCAACCACTTTATTATCTTTGGGTTTAATGTTCATGTATGAAAAGTGTAATAAAAAATTCACAGGTAAAAGCTGTATTAAACTGGATTTAAGGTTATGTACATAGAAGCAGCTTAAGGGTAAAAACATTGCAGTTATGTTGTAATTACCCTATAACAAACATTACAAACCCAGGAGATTCAGAGTTAGGTTAAACTTCAAGAAATTCAAACAGGCTAAGTTATGGCAATGCACAGTTAAGGGATCCAAACATTAGCTCTGCACTGTAGTGACAACAGGAGCAAAAATAAAATAAAATAAAAGTGATGTGTCTTTAAAAATCAGTTTAATCACTCTGGGACTACAAACATGTATGCACTAATACTGGTTGTATGGTCACTGCATGGTGTTACTGCAGAGCAGAGTTAAGGTCCTTTGAGTGGGTTAACTGTGCATTTCCATATCTTACCCTGTTCGGATTCCTGTGCCATTTAACCTGAACTCTGAATTTCCTGGGTTTGTAATACTTGTTTTGGGGTTAATTACAACATTTCTTGTCATAATTTTAACATTAAGTTACAGATATGTACTCAGCCTTAATGCCGGTTTCATGTAGTTTTGTCTAGGACTGTGTAGTATCTTGGAAAAACCTGTTTGGCTTGATGAGGTATGTGATGGGGTACACAAACCCCACACTTGGCCCAAAAGGGTTAAAAGACAATATTGGGCCCAGGTAGGCCTGTTGAGCACTTTTCAATTGGAGGAGTGTGCTAAATGGAACTCAGAAGCCCAGGCAAGGAGTGGTGGACAGGCTACTGGAAAAAAGAATCCTTTGGCAGGAAGCCAGGCAAAAGGTGCAGCCTGAGAGGGGATCACAGAGTGGCTAGGGCCCCCAGGGAGTGTCTTCTCTAACCACCACCCACTTCAAGAACTAGCAGGTCTTGAAGGGGCACTTAGGTAGGAAGTAGCCCAGGGCAGTGTACTTAGACTCTCTGCAGGGAGGACCCTGCTAGTGTTATTTCCCACAGGGCCCTGGGACCCGGTGGAGAGAGAGGGCCTGGGTCGCCTTACCATGTGCTACTTAAAGGCAAAGGCCCAGACACAGTGGGGAGGCCCAAACACTCCCATCCTGGAGTCAGGAACTAGGCACTACTACCACTTCCTCCCTGACAAAGCGATAAGGGATTGGCAGTCAGGTGCACTAACCACTAGGCTACCCGAACCTCCAAGCCCCCGTCACAAGATATATGTTGAACAATGGTAAACTGCGAATATTAAAGTTTTTCTGCAGCATATAAGAAAGTGTTATTGTCTTGATCTGTTATTTTATTTATGTATAGAATTACAGTGCTATGATAAGTTTGCACCTCTTAACCCCTTTTTTATTTTTTTTCAAACCTTTATTAGTATATAGGAACTGGCGTTTAAATTTCCACTTTGAATGAAATCCTAAGCACGAATAATTTGTTGTTTAAAATGAGGTATAAAACAGGGGACTGTATAATAAGGTTTATTCCAATTATACAGTTTCAGATTTATTAGTTGCAATTCACCCCTTGCATAAGCATTGGCCCATAGTTTTAAATTTGAGGTCTTATTTTCCAGTTGAGCAGTGCAGGCAAAGTAGTATGAAATAATGTACCTTTATAATCTTTCACTGAATATTGAAAAAGAAAATTTTATATTCTGTAATACAAGCACATTTGTGCCCCAACAAATAGATATACAAATATGCCCCGGGTGTCTTCGAAGATCAGCTAGAGAATGTGTGTGCCCAAGTGACTGATTTCCCAGCTCATGTACACCAAGTAATTACAGGGCAAGACTGAGTCCTACATGTGTTTAATATTTGCATTAGGAATTGCATTTTACAAACATGTAGTAAACAACATTAATCTGTGAATGAAATGGCTGTGTGTCACAGAGGAAAATATCTTGAAAGGATCTGCGGTTATCTGCAGTTTCCCAAAGGTTGGACTTCCATTTAAAAATAAATAAATAAAAAGTGTGTTTCATGTTCTGTAATCAATGGATGATTTTCTGATATGGCTTAACAAACTACACTAAGAGCTTTTTTAAGGTTATCAGGAGCAAAATAACTGCACCAGAGATAACATTATAATATATATGTTGTCTGCAGGGGTTATTGGGTTTGCTTCTTTCATTTATATTCTCTTGTGGGTGCCCCCTCCTATCTAGTACACAGCTGTAGAAACTCACTTCTATTACAGTTATCAGTGCTGTCCTGATGTGTGGGGCTGTGAATGGAACTGCAGCCTGTTCTGAAACAGACTCCACTCAAACAATTTTTAA